CTGCTTCTCCCTCTGACCCTCCCCCCTCTCATGTGCTCTCTCTCATTCTCTCTCTCTCAAATAAATAAATAAAATCTTTAAAAAAAAAAAAAATTCAACTGGGCAGCAGGATTCAAAGTCCCAACGGATATTAGGGCATTGCTGCTAACGTGTTCATGGTGGTAATGACATTGCGGTTATGTTTTTTTTTTTTTTTTCTTTTACCATTTAGAGATGCATTGTGAGGTATTTATGAAGCGACACAATGTCTGGGATTGACTTCAAAATAACCCCGTGGAGGGGACAGGTTAACGTGGATCTGGATGACACCAGCTCTGCTGAGCTAATCATTGCCGAGGACAGGCGACTCCTTACGTGAATCTCTACTTTTACAGAGATTTGGAATTTTCCATAATTAAACTGTTTTTAAAAATCCTTCTAAAGGTCACAGAGAGTCCAAGCATATGGCCATGAATCACCTCCCTGACTCTCTGCCCAGCCCAACTGGAACAAATGCCCAGGCTTAGCGTTTACTGAAGGTGCGGTGAGCCAGACACCTGCGTGCTGTCTCTCTCTGTGTCCCCCTGCTGGGCAGCAGGGGCACTGCAAAGCATGCACATAGTCCTTGAAGTGACTCTCAACCAGCAGAATTTGGAAGAACTTTCACCTCTCTAAATACACCCAGCACACACGAATAAGCCCTTTGGTGAGTGGTCCCTTAAGTCCCGGACTTGGGACGACAGGAGTGGTGAGAAGCCCCGGCTGCACGGCCTCCTCCCCATAACACGGGACAGGAAGTGATGGCTCTGAGGGTTAAGTGACCATAGGCACAGGAGAGTTTGGCATATGCTCAGTGCACAGAGAACTTCACTGCATGAAGGCAGGAGGGAGATACAAGGTGTATTACCAAGAGGACAGAGCCCTGAGGTGAACTAACACAAACCCGTCATCCTTACCTGACTGGCTGATGAAAAAACAAACGTCATCCCTGAACACCGGTGTGTTCCTGTCCAGAAAATCGCTCGCAAGTTCAACCATCACAGGGAGCTCCGTTAGCTCCTCCAGAACTTGCCGCGTCTGCAGCCAACAGGAATGGGGACCAAAGTCAGTCAGAGATGCCACAGAGACACAAGGCAGCTGGGCTCCTGGGGACGGTTTGTGTGGCTGGGGCCAGGTGGTCAGGGAATTTAGGCATGCCCGGCCCCCACCGTGGGAGAAAGGCTTCGGTGCCAACTCTCATGCTGGTTCACGGGCACCGGATTTGGGTCAGACACACCGTAGCGTCTAAGACTATGCTCGGCCCCCGCTCCCTCCCCAGCACCATCACGGGCCCAGTGTGATGCACTTACAGCCACAGCGGCGTGGTAACTGGTTCCACAGCCAATCACGATGAGCCGGCGGCACCGCCGAATCTCCTTCAGGTGGTCCTTCAGGCCGCCCAGGAGCACTGTGGGGCACACACAGCGCGTTAATGCTGACCCCACCCAGGGAGGTGCGTCGGCCCAGGGCACAGACGAGGGATTACCTGTGTTGGTCTCAAAATTCACCCGGCCTCTCATGGTGTTGAAAACGGACTCTGGCTGTTCGAAGATCTCCTTCTGCATAAACGCACTGAAGTTACCTGGTCAAATAAACGTCAACAGAACAGGTCAATTTTAATCTGGTTACATTACCACTGCTTAACTTGCGATCAGGGTGCAAAGCTGTTAAGCAGTTAGTTACAGAGACACATGTGGAGGCCGCTGCAGATTCCCAGGGGCCTCTCGGGGACTGTCCCCCCTCATGCTCATGGTGACAAGTGAGAGGGAAGCAGGCCAGATAAGATTACTACCTTCAGTTGACATATTGGACCCTGCAGCTTGAAGGAGCGAGGGCTATAAGCAGCAAATGTGTGGCTGCTTTTAGCAAAGCCAGAGGAAAGGAAAATGCTTTACTTCCAGAAACCAACCTACTTAGGGAAGTACAAATGAAGTAAGCCCAGAGAAATAGGCAACTGTCTTTTGAACAAATACCCTCCTAGCTTCTGTATTAAAGAAAAACCTTTTCTGGGGCGTTTGGGTGGCTCAGTCGGTGAAGCGTCTGCCTTTGGCTCAGGTCATGATCCCAGAGTCCTGGGATCGAGCCCCTCATCGGGCTCCCTGCTCAGCGGAGGGTCTGCTTCTCCCTCTCCCACTCCCCCTGCTTGTGCTCTCTCTCTCTGACAAATAAATAAATAAAATCTTAAAAAAAAAAAAAGACAGAAAGGATTGCCGGTTTTGCCAGCAAGACTTACACACCCTGGTGAATCTGCGGGAAGGGCTGGGGGCCGTGGCTCAGAGGATGTCCCCATGGCTCCTGGGTTCCTGCCAGCCCTTCAGAAGTGGGATTCCGGAGGAGCTACAGGAAACCTCCGTTGGAAGCTGCCATTGCCTGGAGCACAAGGCGGTGGGTGAGTTTTAGGGAGCACTGCCGTAGCATGTGCTTTGCGGCTAAGGGCCATAGAAGGACCTCCTCTCTGCCAAAGCCATGATTCGGTCTGCTTCTGCCCGAGGAGAAAGAAGTAACATGATTTCTCCATAAATAATATGATTTCTAAACTGCCTCCCAGATCTTCCGTGAAGCGTCTCACTGGTGGACTTTTAACTTGGAAATGTAATTCCCAGGTTGCCAAGCCCTGTGACACAGGGGAGGGCATAGGAAAGGATGGAAAAGTTACTGAGTAGCCCACAGGTAATCCTGAACAAAGGTCTGATGGTAAACTAGAGTCACTCACACCAGTTAGTGGTCATGAAGACACTATTCAAGCCATCTGGGATAGCCACTTTCTTTGGGAGCCTGAATTCCGACCCCACAAGCCTTCAGAACTCTGGCCCTGGCTTCTTATATTCCTGCCTGACTGTATTGATAAAATTGGTGACTATGATGGATCCATGGAAATAAAAAGTATGGATTTGAGGGGCGCCTGGGTGGCTCAGTAGGTGAAGCGTCTGCCTTCGGCTCAGGTCATGATCCCAGGGTCCTGGGATCAAGTCCCACATCGAGCCCCACTTTGGGCTCCCTGCTCAGCGGGGAGCCTGCTTCTCCCTCTCTCCCCTGCTCATCCTCTATTTCTCGCTAGCTCGCTCTCTCTCTCTCAAATAAATAAATAAAATCTTAAAAAAGAAAGTACGGATTTGAGAGTTTCACCCCTGCATGTTGCCTTCGGGTTCTGGGCAACCGTCTTAAGCAGCATCACGTGGTTCAACCCCCTCCAACAGCTGTTCAGTGGACTCAACCAAGAGTTCCAAATATCCTACAGTTTGTTCCCTCCTGTAAAATAAATACTCCTCATTTTCACACTAGAAGTATGCAGGTCACAGGTGTGGACACAGTGCCATTGGCTACTAAGAAACGGGGTTCATTGCCACCAGACCCTGCTGATTTCCTGTTTTGAGAAGCCCTCAAAATCCAAGTACACAAAAAAGAATGAGATTACCAGAAATGTAAACACACAAGCCAAAAAAGAATTGTACTGTCTTTATTGTCTTAAAATTGCATAGTATTTTGATTGTGCACGCTTTTAAACAGAGGGCAAGGTAGCCCACTTGAAACTACTCTCTTGCATGGGATATTTCAAGCTGTTCTACTACAGGTAGGAGCCGGGACCAAAATGCTGCCTGGGCTTAAAAAGAACCATGATCAGATTTAACCGAAGTTGGAGAGTTGGAGGGATTTATAGGAGAAGAAACCGTTGAAGGACATTGAGATTTTGAAGGGATTTACAGGAGGCACCGGAAGGTCGGGGGCGGGTGGGGGCTTCCCTGACGTCAGGGGACAGGATTCAGGGGCAGCCCAGAGAGGACAGGAAAGGAGAAAGGAGTCCAGAGGGGCAATGCCTTGTGCTCAAATCTGAGATGAATGCCCCCCCGCCAGGAGGCTGGGGGGTACATGGTCTGGGAGTTACCTTGGCTCTAGAAAGCCACATACTAGAAAAATAACTTAAAAGCTATACAGTCATCATTATAAATATTTTGTCTTTTAAAACTAACTAGTGTTGGTTAAAAAAAGGTTCACAGTTACTCTGAAGAGAGCTGTGTCTCTATTGCACAGTAGTGGAAAAGTCCGCTCTGATCCCCATGTGTAAACAATGATTCCTTTCTCCTCTGGCAACTTCGGGACACAGAGAAACAGTATCTGCTGTAAGCGAAGCACTTGGGTACAAGGCACCTGGCAGCTGTCAAGCTCTACTGGGATCTACTCGGAACACACAGAATGCCCACTGTTCTTCCCACTTGGGCGTCCCTGGGACGGGCCTCGAAGCACACACGACAGGTGGCAATGGCCTCCTCAGGCTCTTCCTTGTTCTCTATTCCACGGTTACAGACTTGGCCAGATTTCTGGGGAAGTCGACCTAAAACGAGAGAAAGTAGCTGCTCAGGAGCCCCTAGAGCTCAGCAACGGGCCGTGGCATAAAGCCTGTTATCAGAGTACTAGAAGAAAAGGAGATGGGTGTTCTGGTCACCTTGAACTATGAGCTAGTTCCTGGAGACCAGCATCTTGGAAGTCGTTCCTCATTCCAGAAACGTCACTCAAATATATCATGTTTATTTCATTCAATAAACACTTAGTGTGCACCTGATTCGTGTCATGCTGCGTTAAAACTATTGAAAGGATCCGATTCATGCTGTTAAAACCAGTGAGCTCAGTGTGTCCTGTTAAATATTCACTTTTCTTGGAAGGGTGTACACTCAATCCACAAGATTTGTTAGTCCAGGGTGGGGGCTGGGAAGAAAAGGTGACTGGGGATGGTTGATAGAGCAGGCTTCAATTTTATCTACAATGTCTTCTTTTGCTTACAATAATGTTTTTTTAAAAAGAAACAAATATGACAAAACGTTAGCCAATGGCAGTTCTGGATATGTGCACCATTAGGTATTTGTTACATTGTGGGTTTTTGGTTTTTTTTTTTTTTTGGTATGGTTATGTATCTTTAAAAGCTTCTCAAAATTAAATTGTAATAAAACTTCTTTTTCTTTACACAGTGAGTATGCTCTTATACACTTTTGCCAGTGGGATTGTAAATTGGTTCTTTTCTGGAACATAAATTGACAATATATGTTGGGAGTCTCAAAATGTTGAATCATTTGCTAGACTGAGGACAAGTTTTAAATGTGGGAGGACGATACATGTGCAGAGATGTTCACTGCATTCTGATTTATGCAGCCATTTCCTCCCAAATTAGCAACAGTTTAAATAACAGAAGACTGGCTAAGTCATTGTTACAATCCATGCTACAAGACTGTGGGAATATTGTACATGTTGCTTGTATAAGTTATTATATTTGGAATACTGTAAATGTTGCTTACAATAAGTTCAAGATGTAAGAAAATGCTTGTAAATATATTTAAAGGGAAGATGTAAAATGTCATCCTCGATATAATCTCAAAAAATGTTCAAAAATTCACACACACAAGGAAAAGACTGGAATGAATTATTAAATTTGCCAATTAGCCTTGCCCCTCTGGGTGATGAGTTTATAGTCTAATATGGTCTTCATAATCTTGCAACTTGTTTTCAAGGGATATAAGTTACTTTAAAAAGAGAGTTGTTTTAAATGAAAAAAATGTCTCCTATGAATATTTACACCCAATAAGCACTCAAGAACAAAATCAAACTCTGGGGTTATGTTTTCCCCCTTTGGGGGGTTCGGCGCGGTTTCAGACGTACGTCATATCCTCGGAGAACAGCCAGATGAAAGGACAGGAGCTGCAGTGGGATCACACTCAGGATGCCCTGGAGGCAGTCCACCGTGTGGGGCAGCTCGATCGTCTTATACGCGAACTTGGAACTCTCAGTGTCGTCCCTGCAGCACAGTATAATCGGGCGACCCTAAAGCGGAGAAATAGGATCACGACATGCAGTCTGTCTCTGAAAGAACAGCCCCTCACCTACAGCAGAGTTTCTGAGATCAACCTCATTGCCATGATCACAGTGGCCTCTTGCTTTTGTTGCAAGTATGGGGGAGGTGCTGTGCATGACTGGTGCGAAGGACAAAGTGTTGGATGCTGTTGGGTGAGTTTCTCTCCCTTCCCTAGCAGGGTGATCGCCAGCCTGTGGCATTCATTTCTAGCACCCATCTGTTGAGTGGCTTCAGTGTGCCTTGCCAAGGGCAGGGCACACGGCACACCTACTCTTCACTCTCAGGGGACTCACAACTGAGGGGTAGAAAACAAAAACAGAAGCAAGCCAACCAATAACTAATGATGAATTCCAGATAAATGCCGCAGAAGCCACAAAACACGGTAATATGATCGGAAGACACTGGTGAGGAAGAGCCAGCGCCAAGGCATAGAGACAGAAATCAGCTCGGCCTGAGTGGGAAACAGAAGGAAGGGGCCAGATAATGCAGGCTTATGGTCACTCTAGTTTTATGGGAAGCCACCGGAAGGCTTTAGGCAAGGAAGTAAAGCGATTTGTGTTTTCTAACTTCTGTTATATAAAACCAGCAGCTGGCTGAAGGGCATTGTTGGATCTCACGTCCCTGTAACTTCATGAGCCCTCCCAGGATGGATCTGTGCTCCCACCTCTGGGCGGCTCCACGCTGGGAATCCGGGACAGCTCGGGCCAATCTGGGTCACAAGGTCTCACTGAGGAGCCGTCGTGC